TAACCTAACTTGCCAAAGATATAGGGGGTCAAATGAGACAGGGATGGAGGAAAATGTCACATGTAAGGTTGAAAATACAGAAGCTAACCAAATTTTGTATAAAAGGTATAGAGGACAGCTGAAATGTAAAGAAGAGACAAAAAGAGATTCCAAGACTAAATTAGTGGGTAATGTGGAAGGAAAACCTAAAAATTGCTTCTCGATCAATAACTAAAAAAGGATGGTCAAAGGTAGACTGTGGCAGATCTTATGCAGTTAGAGAGCAAGATGTGAAATGAGTTCTTTGATCTAGCAGTCAGAGAAGGGGACCATAATACTTTTAGAAAATAGACAAAGAGAAATAATTAAAAGGTTGCCATTCCTCAAATTAGAAAACTCATCTGGTCCAGAGGAAATAATAGTTACTATTGGAAATGAGGATGCAGACGATGGAAGTTCTGGCCACAACTTTCCAACATTTCTTGAATTTTGGGTGGCGCCAGAGGTGATAGTGGGGCAAATATTACACCTTTGCTCAAGAAAAGGGAAGAGATAGATAAATCTTGAAACTTTAAGCCAACTAGCCTCACATACTTCAGTGGAAACTTTCAAGACAGAGGTTTGAGCCAAAATTAATTCTCACGTTGAAAGACATGGGTTAATCAATGACAGTATTGTATTTTTAAACTGAATTGTGTTTGGCTAACTTGATCAAGTGACCTGATAAGGTAGCGCAGAGGATTAATGAGATTCGTGCAAATGATCATGAGCACATGGCCTTTCAAAAGGAATTTGACAAGGTTTCACATAATAAACTTAATGACAAATTTAAGGTCCATGGGACAAAAGGTACAGTGTCACATGATTCCAAATTGAGTAACAGTGAACAGGGAATAGTGGTGAATGGTTAGATTCCAGGCTGGAGGGTACTATCGGTGATAATTGTCAGGGCTTTGAATTAGGGCCACTTATTTTTTAAATGCACAAATGTATATTATATATATATAATATTATTCTGGATAGAGTTTGCAGATTGTATGGAATTCATAAATGGAATAGACTTCAGGAGGACAAAGACTGGTAAATTGGGCAGACAAAATCTGGATGAAATTTAATACGGAAATGTAGAGTGATGCATTTTGATCACATTCATGAGGAGTGGCAATATGAATTGATGGTACAATTCTAATGGAGATGCAAGAACAGAGAGACCTGGCAATGTATGTACATCAACTGTTGAAAGGAATCCTCAAAGGAAAAACTTTTCCAGGAGTTTGGACAAAGAGCAGGAAAATGGAAATGACATAGTGGGGGATGGGACAATGGCATAGCAGAGGACTGGAATCATTGGCAGAGCAGAGGAATAGGATCAATGAAGTAGTAGGGTATTGGGATCAGTGAGGCAGCAGAAGAATGGAAACAATGAGATAGCAGAGGAATGGGATCAATGAGGTAGCAGGGAAATTAGATCAGTCAGATCACAGGAGAATGGAATCAACTGGATAGTAAATCAATTGGTAAGCAGAGGAATAGGATCAATTGGATAGCACAGGAATGGGATTAATCAGAGAGCAAAGGAACGGGATAAATGGGATAGCAGGAAAATGGGATCAATGAGATCGTTGGAGAATGGGATTCATCAGAAAGCAGGGAATAGGATCGAGGCAGCAGGTTTATGTGATTAATCAGATCATCAGAGGAATGAGAGCAATGGGTAGCAGGAGAATGGATCATTTGAATAGCAGCAGAAATGGGATCAATGAGATAGCAGGGGAATAGGATCAACTGGACAGCAGGAGAATAGGATCAATCAGATTGCGGGGGAATGGGTTCAAGTGGATAGCTGGGAGTGGGATCAATCAGATAGTAGGGGAATGAGAACAATTGGATTGCAGGGGGATGGGATATTAGAGGAATGGAATCAATGTAATTGCAGGAGAATGGGATCAATGGGATAGCCGAGGAATGGGGTCAATGGGATTGTAGGAGAATGGGAGCAATGGGAAAGCAGAGGAATGGGATCAATGGGACAGTGGGGGAATGGGCTCATTTGGATAGCAGAGGAATGGGCTCAATCAGCTAGCAGGAGATTAATTGAATAGCAGAAGAATGGGATCAATGGAATGGCAGAGATCAAAGGAATAACAGAAATAGGATCAATAGGATTGCAGGAGAATGGGATCAATGAGATAGCACAGGAATGGGATCAATGGGGTAGCACAGGAATGGGATCAATGTGATTGCAGGAGAATGGGATCAATGGGATAGCAGAGAATGGGATCATTCAGATAGCAGAGGAATGGGATCAATAGGATAGCAGGGGTATAGGATCATTTGGATAGCAGAGGAGTGGGGTCAATCAGATCACAGGGGAATGAGATCAACTGGATATCTGGGAATGGGATCATTCAGATAGCAGGGAATGGGATCAATGGGATAGGAGAATAGGGTCATTGGGATAGTGAAGGAATAGGATCAATGTGATAGGAGGGGAATGGGATTAATCAGATAGCATTTGAATGGGATAAATGTGATAGCTGGGGAATTGGATCAATTGGATAACAGAGGAATGGGATCAATCAGATTGCAGGTGGATGGATCAGTGGGATAGCAAGGGATCAATGTGATTGTATGGAATGGGATAAATCAGATAGCAGAAGAATAGGCTCAATGAGATAGCAGGGGAATGGGAATCAATCTGATCACAGGGGAATGGGATCAATGAGCTGGAAATGGGATCAATTGGATAGTATAAAATAGGATACTAGGAGCATAGGGTTTTGAGATAGCAAAGGAATAGGATCAATATGATAGCAGGAGAACAGAATTGATGAGTTAGCAGGGAAATATGATTAATCAGATAGTAATTGAATGGGATAAATAGGATAGCTACGGAATGAGATTAATGGGATAACAGTGGAGTGGGAGCAATCAGATTGAGGGGCATAGGCACAGTGGAATGGCATCAATCAAATCACAGAGGTATAGATTCAATTGGATACCTAGGGGAAGAAATCAAATTAATTGTAGGGAATAGGATCAATGAGATCACAAGGGAATGCACTCAGTGGGATACCAGGAGAATGGGATCATGGATTTAAAAGAAGAATGGTATCAATCGGATGGCTGGGGAATGGAATCAATCAGATTGTAGGGGAATGGGATCAATCTGATCGCAGGACCAAAGAGAGTGCTCTGAATGATCTCTGACTTACATGGATCCACGACTCTGTGAACTTCACCCTCTCGAAACCACCCTTTGTTCAATCACTGATACTTTATACCAGTTAACAGCGATGCACGTATCAATTAAATCAAATCAAATAAAAATGAAACAGATATAAATTTCTGATATGGCAGAGTCAGTGAGGCCACATTTACAGCGAACGGGGTTTGAATACAGGGGAGCGTTTTCCCCGAAGTGGAAATCACGTAGTGATGTTACAGCAGTTTTATTGATGCTGTAATAGATCTGTCTTGATCGGCTGCAGGCGATTTCCAGAATACTATAACAGGCACAGTCTTTGGTGACTATGTAATACCCGGGATCCCGGGGACACCGAATCCTTGTGCTTGTGCGAGGATCGAAGGAGAGGAACAGAGTGACAAGTAAACTAAGGCAATGCACTGACAGTTATAACACAGTGTGGAGCTGGAGGAACACAGCAGGCCAGGCAGCATCAGAGGAGCAGGAAAGCTGATGTTTCGGGTTAGGACCCTTCTTCAGAAAATGCACTGACAGTGATTGGTATAAAAGCAGGAAGTGCGAGTTTAATAATCTATGATCTAGAGCTGTTTGTCCCACGGAAACTCACTGTTTGCCTGGGCTTTAGAAACCACTCTGTGTTGGCAGGAACCTATCCTGTAATTGTGCGTGCTAACACAGGGACACACACACAGGGGCACATCATTTACAGCGAAATATTGACGTGTTTTTCTATGAGTCTTTATAGCCGAGAGTATCATGCATCCAGGCTCTCAGCCCCGTCTGCAGTGTTAGGCTTTTGAAGATAGCTTGACATTCGACCTTTCCTCCTGCCGCTCTGATTCTGTCACACCCAAAGCAGTTTTTCCCTGTGAAATATAAATCGGACTGATCGCAGGCCCCAGCTGTGAACAAGAGCTGCTTCCTCTGCAAGTACTGCATTCAGCAAACAGGAAATCTTTGCCTATCCAGACTGAGATCTGACGCTCTCGGGGGGGATATGGAAAACGTCCTGCCCTGGAACCTGTCGCCCGGTTTGACGGGAGACCTCGAACCTTTCCCCCCGTTATCCGCACGGTCACTGAGTCGGAGCTTCAGCCTGTTGCAGATATCTGTGTTTGTGTACCTGAGCAAAAACTGTCTTGCTGTCGGCTGTGGAGGGGGCAGAGCTGAGCTAAGGAGGGGGGGATGAAGAGGTTGAGGAGGGTGAGAGAGTTCGGGAATGTGGAATAGAGGAGGAAGGGGATTCAGGAGGATGGAATTTGATGAGGGTGGTGTTTTGAGGAAGATAAGGGTTGAGGAGGGTGGTGTTTAAGGAGGGTGGTGCTTTGAGGAAGATGAGGGTTGAGGAGGAGGGTAGTATTTGAGGAGGGTGGGGGTCTGAGGAGGGTGGGGAAGAGGCTAGATTTAGAAAGGACCCGGGGAGAGTGGACAGGGACAGTACAGAAACAGCTGAAGGACAGAGTGGCAGCTGTTAATCTGCTCACCCGGGACTCTCTGGACCCTTTTTGAGGGGGATTTTCACAGGAGGAGAGTGAGTGAAGAAAGATCCCAGTCTCACATCTGGGAGCAAGACTGTAATAAGGGTTATAGCCTCTCCCGGTTGCGTGTCTTGAGCGCTTTGAATGAGTTTGAGAGTTGGAAGCGGCCGTTTCCGGAAATTCGGAATCATGTGGAGGGAATATTGTGGGGGACGCAGTCTGTGAGGAGAACTAGCTGAACCAAGGGAGGTAGCCAGGCCTGGATTTCCACTGAGCCCTGAGTGAAGAGCTTGGCGTCTGATTTAACGGGATTCTTCTGTGTTTATCTCACCCAGGCGGCAGACAGCGGAGGAGAGAGAGGCCGAGAGACAACAGGCCAACAGACTGATGCTACAACTACAACACGACGCCTTCCAGAAGTCTCTCAGCGACTCCATTCAGCCAGATCCGCTGTGTCTGCACAACTCGTCTCTGTACGCGCTGCAGAACCTGCAGCCCTGGGCTGAAGATAATACCAAGATCCCAGTTGTCACATCGTTAGTGTGAGACTGAGAGTGAGGTGAGCAGCGAATCCGAGCCCGGCTCTCTCCAAGAAATTGATTTGTGGGTTCGTTTTAATTTTGGCCTTTCTTTAAAAGTTGAACTGGAGAGAGCAGCGTATCAGAGAATCTCAACACCAGGGACCAGGAAACCAAGGGGGTTAAGGAATCTTTTTTTTGAACTAAACAGAACTCAAAGGCGACTACGTGAGGATGAATGAACAACAAGGCACTGCCTAGAAACAATTAAACAGCAAAAAAAATCTCAACGACTGCTTGAAAGCTGGAGAGGGACAAACCTGCAGCAAAACTGCCTGTTGTTCAATATTCGATGAGATTAAGAATGTCTTCGTTTTGTTTCGTTAATAATTATACATTTTTAAATAACGCCTCAGGAAAGAATGAAAACAGGAGCATCTAACATATTTATTGCTGACGTGAAGCACTGGCCTTTGGACAGAGGAAAGTAACTTTTTTTAGTTGGGAGAGTCACTGAACACTCTTTCGGCCGCCCTCTTCCTACAATTTAGGATGAGCGTGGGTCCCCTCCAGCGCAGGTAAAGGGGAGAAAGGAGGCCTCACCGATGGAGCTGAAGATTTACTCTTGGCTCCCTGGATTGCTTGTCACATCAACTGACGGGGAGTGCCCGTGCTCAGCAGGTTATGATAGGGAGCCTGGGAAGAAAGCTTTGAGAGACTGAAGAGGCGAGACAAGGGGGATCCTGAACTAGATCGATCACTGCTGTGTGTGTGTGTGTGTGAGGGAGAGAGAGAGAGAGAGAGAGAACTCACCGAATGTTATTAACGTGCTTCATTCACCGAGCAGAACAGCGGTCATATTATATTATTGCTCAGTCTTGTCTTTCTTTGAATTCCCTGTTATTCACTTTACTCCAGCTGCGAACCCACCGCCAGGGAGAGGAGCAGTTCTTCCCGCTCTGTTTGAGAAGCATGCGCCAGAGCATTTTTTAAAATGTATGGATTCATGTTCGAGCCGTCGATTATAGGTTTGACTGAAGGTAATATAATGTATATAACAAGCACTGTACACTATTAATTTGTACTTACAAATGTGTAAATAAAAGTTGGCTTTCTTTACAAAAAAAAAAATCTGTATCTGAGTCCACATCCTAAATGTGACCAGTATTATTATCACAGCATTCCAACCTGAGCACTGCGACCCCAACTGGCTTCTCTGACCCCGTATGGGAATGAGCGAGTAAGACCTCAGTCCAGAGCGGCTGTGCACATGAATGCTATTCTGCTTAAATACTCAACCCATTCACTCTTGAAATGAATAATAAAAAAAGGCTAATAGCTTTGCAGAGATAGTAGGAACTGCAGATGCTGGAGAATCTGAGATAACAAGGTGCAGAGCTGGATGAACACAGCAGGCCAAGCAGCA